AAAAAAAAAAAGAATGCATTAAAAAAAAATCTTTACGTGACCTATGTAGAATGCTTCTGTGATGTTATCTCGCTAACATTTTACCCCTCTTGCTATTGAAGAATGTATTGGGCAATAAATGTACAAAAGTGCTTTACACAATTGATGTATGTATGGATTGTGGTAAGTGTTGTATGAGCCCCTAATAAATGATTAAAAAAAAAAGAGCTGGTGCCAGATAGTAATTAGCCATGAGGTGTCATTAAGGTAGCACTATAATGAGGGGATATTGTGGAGATGATTTTTAATTCCGAGAATGTGACTGGGACTATTTCCAGTTTACAAATGTGAATGCCTCTCGCCACCCAGATACAAGGCCTTACAATCTTCTTTAATTCTGAGAAGAAATTACTTGTCTTCATCCACTCTTCTCGGTCCTCAGTTTCCCACAGCCTGATACTTTTCATGAATGTTCTAAAATAATTCAGGATATTCCCACATTCACACTTATCTGTTCTGTTGTGTCTGTGCCTTCTGGAGGCTTCCACACCTTGCTACTATATAAACTCACTGTTAAATGACCTCACTATCTTATTCCGACATCGGAGATGAGACCAATCTACCCCATTTTGCTGTCTGTTTTATCTTCCTTAATTGCACATGCTGTTCCTAAGGGCCCGTTTGGTTGTGGGGCTAAATCCCACACTTTATGTTTGCTTTACCAGTTGGTGCACAAATTTAAATAACACTTGTAGTAACTGGTCTTACCTGCAAGCATATGAATATCAACCTACCACAGGCAGAATTATACTTCAGAGAAGATCTTGCAATATACATTTTTGATGATGAATATGACACCAGTATTCTTGAATTTGTCAATCTCAGCCGTATAAACCACTTGATTATCTAATTTAAAATAGCCAGTACCAGTATATTAAAGTTTAATAAGCCATATACCATCAATATTTAAACACTCAATTTTGTTTTGACAACTTGCAATTGTTCTTTTTTTTCTTGCAATTGTTCTTGATAATAATTTCATTTATTCTGTCATCCAATTATTAGAGGATGTATGCAGCTATTTTTCTCATTTTCAGTCATGACATGTCAACCACTTAATGTCCCCAAAGCTCTCCTCCATCCACATCATTACCGTTGACTGTACTTTGAGGATTTAGTCCTTCTTCAGTGTTATTTTGTTGCCATTAAACCTGAGGGGTGTTTGTTCCAGAAGTAATTCACCAGGTCTTGCTCCCAGTCCCTATTTCTAGAGAGTCCACTAAGACCTGTGCACCAGGGGTGATCCTGCATGTATTTGAAACAATGGGTGGCAGTGCTTCTGGCATCACAATAATATGCAAGCCACCACAGGACAACACTGAAAGATGGGTGGTATAAGCTAGAATACAGGCTCCATAAGCATACAGAATATGTTTCTGTAGCATAATACCTTTCATATATACCTATAAAAATGGTTTTCTCCCAAGTAGAACATTCTACATTTTTCACATTCCCAACTTTACCTAGTATTTAGTTGCCTCTCAGTAAAGATTGATGGATTGAATACAATGTTATCTTCTAACTGAAATTAGCAAGCCTTACCACTCCTTTGGTCTATTGGTTTCAATGTCTTGTTTGTATTATATTTGTTGTATATTTTCATGGCCTCATTTAAGCAAATACCAAATCTGCGTTCATTCATTGCTCTCAAATCCAACCTTGTTTCTGTAATAACTATTTTTATCATTTGGATTGTTTACATGATTGTATTTCTTCCAATGGGCAAAAATTTTAAGCAAAGTGTTTTATTTACATTCATATAAGAAGGTTTTCATGAGAGATTTACCTTGTATCAATGCATATTTTAAGAGGTCCATTATAGACCAAGATGATGGAAACATTCAATGTTCTATTCTTTTATCGAAATACAGAACGTTGGTGATCATAAACTCGAACACTTGCAACATGAAAGACACATGTACAGAACGGAGCAGGGCTATAAATATGGGACAACCTTCATCGAAGAGTCAGTGCTCTATGAGCATCAGATCATTCATATACTAGATAAGACCTATGAATGCAGTCAGTGTGCGAAAAGATTGGATAAAATGTTCAAACTCCATAAACATTATCAAAAAGCTCATAAAGGACAAAAACTATATAAATGCTTGGAATGTGGCAAAGTTAATCACAGTAAATCATACCTCAAGGAACATCAGAAAACTCATGTGGCAGGGACGCCCTGTGTGTGCAGTGAATGTGGGAAAGGCTTCACCAGGAACAGTGATCTCATGCTCATCAGCGGATTCGTACTGGGGAGAAACCTCATATATGTACTAAATGTGAAAGAGCCTTTTCTAGGAAGAAGAACCTCACTATTCATCCGAAAAATCATACTGTGGAGAAACACCATGTATGTGGTAAATGAGACAAAGTTTTCATTTGGAAAGCGCATCTCAAAAGTTATCTACGAGCTCATACAGGAGAAAAACACTATGTATGTGGTGAGTGTGGTAAAGCTTTCATCCAGAAGCAATGCCTTACAGCACATCAGAGATTTCATACAGGAGAGAAATCCCATGTATGTGATGAATGTGGAAAAGCTTTTATTTGGAAGACTGCTCTCACTGATCATCAGCGAACTCATACTGGAGAGAAACCCCATGTATGTGGTGAATGTGGAAAAGCCTTTAACAAGAACACTGCTCTCACTGTTCATCAGCGAACTCACACAGGAGAGAAACCCCATGTATGTGGTGAATGTGAAAAAGCTTTTATCAGGAAGAAGGAATTCGCTGATTGTCAGCGAATTCATACTGGAGAGAAAACACATGAATGTGGTGAATGTGGAAAAGCCTTTATCAAGAAGACTGCTCTGACTGATCATCAGCGAACTCATACTGGAGAGAAACCCTATGTATGTAGTGAATGTGGAAACGCCTTTATGGAGAAGACTGCTCTCACTGTTCATGAGCGAACTCATACTGGAGAGAAATCCCATGTATGTGGTGAGTGTGGAAAAACTTTCAACCAGAAACAATGCCTTATAGTTCATCAGAGATTTCACACCAGAGATAAACCCCATGTATGTGGTAAATGTGGAAAAGCCTTTATCAGGAAGACTGCTCTCACTGATCATCAGCAAACTCATACTGGAGAGAAACACTATGTATGTGGTGAATGTGGGAAAGCTTTTATCC